TGTGATGATGAGGTTTACTTACATGTGCACAGCTCCATCAACACGTGGTGGCTGATCTCCCACATTTCCATGGAGCAACACTGACCCCTGCTGAATGCAGCCGTTTTCTTACAGCTCCTGCACAAGTTTCATGGTGAAGCTCATAATTACAGAATTAGAAGCTCGTGACCTCATCGTGACCGAAAGGATGAGACGAAGCTGAAGAACAAAGTACAGCCAAAGAAGAAAATATATAATGTAGTACAGCAGACTTTGCTGTTGTGGTGGAAAAAAATAAATAAATAAAAGGAGCCATGTCCAAAAATCCCACTTTGGGTAATTTTCTGAACGTTCACATACGGAACAATGATGTTGTCCATTTCTGTGTTTGTGCGTTCATTTGTCTGCACAGTTGGCAAAATGTCTCATAAATCACTGGATGGATTTTATTGAAGTTTCTGAAAGTAATCATTGGCTTGACATCTTCAGCTGATTAGGTGTTGGAGTGAGCTTGAGTCAAGACGACAGCCACAGCTAATCAAACTAAGTCAGAACAAAAAGAGCTGTACTTCAGTGCATTTTACACTTATTGAGCTCAAAGTTGGTGTGGGAGGTGCCACTCACAACACATTAACTGCTAATAGATTGTGTAAATTATTACAATATTGCATGAGATTACTTATTATTTTCATAATTGATTCGTAGAAGATGGTGTTATTTTAAAACTCTTGTATGTGGAGAGTAACAGGCATTCCTTTAAACAATACTTGACATTTAAATTGCTATATGCATCTCCCTGACTCATTTATAACAAATATTGAACATTATAATTTACAGTTATGAGTGTGAACAATTATTTCTTAGAATTGTGACATTTTTCTTCTTTCTTTGTCTATTTTTTAAAGGCAACTTTTATCATGTTTGACTTCAGAGGTATAAACTTTTATTCACTTCGATCCCAGCTTTCTTGAAAAGGAATGATTGTTCTGGAGCGCCAGCCAATATATTTCTCACTGCGCTTTCAAGGAGCACTGACGACATTTTCAAACGGTAGTTTGGGAATCCAGCAGCAATCCCTCGGCTGATTGAACCTCTAATGTCAGTCTGCTTTTGATTTGTGGTGGCAAGTGAGCGTGAGCCTGACAGTGTGACAGTAGGAGAGCTCTGCTAAAATACCAATAAAACTGAGACGTGAAACTGAGCCAAAGTTACATAAAACCCTTGTTTTATTCACAAATCTTTTTAATCTTCAACACAAGGAGCTGTGCTGATTTCACTCGCGCTCATTTTATGTGATGCTCAGGAAAACTAGTACCAGAGTGAGTAAATGACATTTTGTTCAAATCAAGGTGGCTGTTTAAAAATGCTAAAGTTACAAGGTAAGTCTGCAGTTCTGAACTGATTGTAATATTTTAATTACAGGAGGTAAGTCACAAGCAATGATCAGCAATCCATCGGGCTGTCGCAGCCAATAAGGTATCAGTTATTGATAACTACTGGACAGAACATCACGACCTCTCACATTTGTAGGATTTGTTCGTGCAGGCTCGTCAAAAAAAATTGTGTGCTGATTGTTT